GTTGCATGCTCCATCACATGAATAACCAGGCGTCCCTCATTTCTTTTCATATCTGAGCCCTAACAGGTAGATTAGAAATGCCTCACCTAGCTAAGTTATCCCTCACTATATAACTTGTTTGTAGGAATGTTCTCTCTCAGAACAAAGAACACAAAGATAAATATACACAGCCACAGTAAAAATATACCAATTACTAGAGAGGAAAAGAGTTATCATCATATTTAAATAAGCTAGTCTTCGTAACTTTGAATAAACATGTTATCATTAAATGTAATATTAAATACATCAGTGAAAGTTGTCTACATTGATGCCTAAATCAAAGTAAGACTATATTCAAAATTATAAACTCATAATAAAAGTAACCATCATTTATTTACTGAGTCCTCTGTGCTAAGCATTTTTACATAATGCCTCTTTTAGTCCTCAACAAGATTATGACATTAGTTCTACTATCTTTATTACAAAATAAAAACAACACCACTTTATTTAGATCAAGAATTTCAAACTGAAAGGCCAGTAGGGTCTAAGAAGGTAGTACTGTTGACCCTTGAACACAGGTCTGAGTGAGCTGCACAAATGCACTTCTGTGTGGATTTTTTTATGGTACAGTATCATAATGTATTTCTCTTCCTTATTTTTAAACATTTTCTTTTCTCTAGCTTACTTTATTGTAAGATACAGTATATAATACATCTAACATACAAAATATGTGTTAGAGTTACCTAAGGCTTCCAGTCAACAGTAGGCTTTTAGTAGTTAAGTTTGGACAAAAGTTATACGCAGATTTTCAACTGAATGCAGTGGGTGGAGGGTGTCAGTACCCGTACCCTCAGTGTTGTTTAGGGGCCAACTGTATAAATAAGTGAAGAAGACTAGATCAAAGATAACACAGCAATGAGGCTTTTGGGCAACCTAAAGAAAATAACCCATCTAAAGGTAGTCATTATTTGGATCAGTGTGGCTCTTATTACATAGACTATAGACCCAGTACATAGTTATGCCAGATAGCTTTTCAAAAGAAGCTGAAAATCCAAACTGTTTTTGTGACATACTTTTATTTTTTAATCTTAGTGCATAAAATAAAATTTTAAATGACACTGAATGCCTCATAAAACATAAGTAGAACCACATTTAGATTGGCACAATGAATGATCCCAGAAGTATGCTAAGAGAGGCATATGATGTCAGTGTACCAGCAGGCACTATAAACAGGATGCATTTAACCCTGGGAAGAAATTTTCCCATACGCACCCTTAAAATCTACACAACAACATTTACATAAGCACTCAAAAAAATATTTGCTGAAGGAAAAGGAAGGAAGGAAAGAAGAGCGTTCAGTAAGAAAGTCTTCATCAACAGTCTCTGTCATCCGGTGGCCTAGACTCTAGACACAACTCTAGAGCATTATTGCTACCACAGCACTCCCGTAACACTCCAAGCAAAGATGAACAGTTAATTAACAATCAAATGAGAATGAAGGAACTTTATAAAACAGGGGATCTGAAAGGTTACTAATATATGCATTCCTGCTTAAGAATACAACTTTATATTGAGAGACTAAGATTCTGGATTTTTGTAAATAGTGGCAGTTGATGTGATTACACCTTGAATGTATATACTGAATACCCACCCAAGTGCACTTACTATCAGGAAAACAGTTCCAAAAAAAAAGGCTTATTATGAAAACTACAATGTCTTCTGGAGTCAACTCAAATAAGCTTTTGATCTGCACAGAGTGTAAAATGTTTCCTCAAAAATGAAGACAGCAAGGTAATTGAGAATCAGTGATATTAGTAAGAACTAAGAAAAGAATAAATAGGGGTTAAAGTATATGCCCCTCCTACCTGAACATTAATAAGCCTGACTGGGAGGTTAAAATGAATTAGTTCTCAATTCAATTACCGAATCTTCACAAACAAGAAGAGTGAACTGTGATCATATCTTTTTATTCCTTCTCCAGTGAAACCACAGATAAGTTTTTTGCCAACAAAGAATAGTCTTCATCATCTCCTCTTATTTTCTATATAATGAAAAGCACTGTCAAGTGGCACTTTCTTAGTCTACGATGGCACCTTTCACAGAAGGAATCCATGCAAATACATTCTAGTGTCCCCAAACGAAATGGTTTCTACTCCCAACCCGTAACTGCTAGGATAGTTTCACTTAAACTGATTCTACACAATTATAGTTCTTTCCCATGTTCTCAAAAGGAGGAAAGAAAGGAGTAAACACTAGGGGGCAAACAAGCCTGGGAAGCGCATACTCTTGTCTTCCAATTTAGACATTCACATATTAAAAATAAATTCCTATACCACAAAATTTCTTAAACATTATACAACCCAACTAACACATTTTGGTGAAAGCTACAAACTCAGAAGAGCCCTTTAGTAACTCCAACATCCATGTCTTATGCCACTATATTTCTTGGCCTAATTCAAAAGTTAACCAGACTCAACTATACAAACTTGTAACTTTAAAGATACCTGGGCTTCTATTCTTATCATGAATTTCTATAAATTATTGTCTTCATAAAATATCGGCAAATATTATTTAATACCTTGCCAGAGCCTTTTTTATAAATTTCAATAACTTGTGATTCTTATGAAATACCATCAAAACACATACTCCTTTCTAACAAATGAAGACAAAAAAATCAATTACATAAAAATTTTCTAGCCATCTGCACATATTGATTTAGTCTGATATCTAACAAGACTCTGGTGTCTTGAACTTAAAAGATATATAAACCAATCCTATTACAGGCTGGTACTAATTTTAGTAATTATGTAGATCAACCAAACATGTCAAACCCCTGAAAAACAGTGGTAGCTAAAATGAGCTCATATGTAAACTAGAGAGGAAGTCAGACCTGTGCAACAAAGCCTTTAACATATAAAAGCCTTCTGTGCGTCTGAGTGGATATCACAAGAGAAATTTTCTTCATTGGAGAGTAAGACAGAAAGAAAGTTGGTGAAACTCATAGACTCATACATATTAGGTAATAATTCTAAACGAAAAAAAGGCAAAGAAAAACACTGCACTGGAAGCATAAGCTTGAGATTCAAGTAAAAATAAACAATTATCAGAGCAACTTCAAAGCTTTCAAGTTCAAACCTCTGCATGTATTCTCTAACAACTGCTAAAATGAATCAGGTCACAAACAGTAGAGATATTCAAAAAAGGTATTAAAATATGGAAAGAACCAACAATTAACCCATTTTTAGTCTTTCTGCTGCATTTCTACACAATGTCTTTATGTGATTATTTCTGTAAAAACAAACAGCATAAATTTGTTTAAATTCGCCTTTAAGTATATTTAGAAGCAAAGTCTAAGGAGGAAGCAGAGCCGTATCATTCTCTAACAGTTTAACTAAGAAGCTGTCCTTGGATTTTAAAAAAACCGTTCTATAAAAAGCATCACTATAAAAACTATCACTGATTTTACTATTTGCATAGAAGCTCAGTAATGAAACCCATTTCACTGCATTTCAGATGAGACAAAAGTTAAAAGAACAATGACCACAAAGACAAAAAAAAAAAAAAACTTACCCTAATGGTTACACCTAAAGATAACAACAAGATAAAGATAACAACAAAGACAGCAGTTTAAAAATAATTCACTTAGGGAATGGCCAGGAGGCAAGTTCTATTCCCAAGAAAATGTCAGTAAATGAATCTTTTAAAAATTAAAGTTAAATCTTATAGCCATGAGCTACATTTTGAAGTCAGGAAGAACTGGGCAGATCTCATAAGATGAGTGTATCTAATCTTTTACCACCCTCCCCTCATTCACTATGCTATGGAGACATATGCCTTCATACTGTTACTCCACTGGGACTCAATCTTGCCCCTTGAGCAGTCTTTCATAGAATGCTTTTCTACAAGGTCTGTGCTCAACAGTCACCTGCTCAGAGATGCCTCTCTGACTACTCTCTCTACAAAAAGCCCTGTTTGTCTTATTCATAGCTATAGTCCCAGTGACTAGAACAGGAGCTGACACAAATGCTCAATAAGTACTTGTTATGTGAATTAATGGTACAATTCAATCATACAAAAACAAATCTGATGACAACTTAAAAACAAGTGCATTAGCAAAATATCTAATAATTCCAATTTGAAGTCCAGGAAAAGAAAAAAAAAAGATCAACTTTTAATATCAGATTCTCCATATTTATTTGCTATCTGCTCTGGAAAGCATGACAAGATATATCTTAATTCTGAGAAACCACAGCAAATATATGATGATTCCATGTCATATTGAGTCCTCAAAGATCTGATGATTTGTAAACAAAGACAAAGTAAGTTTGGTATTAGCTTTAATATAGGTACTCTAATACATATACGTAGTATTTTAAAGTACACTAATAATCTGTAATATAAATACTCAAAACAAGGTTAACAGAATTCCTTCCCTATATCACCAAGTCCTATCTACTACTGACAAAACAAAAATTAAGTGTTAAATACAGCCTCATCAGAACATCCAGAAATTACCACTTTTAGGGCGTTAAAAAAAAAATACAAAGTAAGTCTGCTAAAAGTGAGATAAAAGTTTAAAATTGTGGACATCTAAGTAGTTGATTCTGGCAAGCATGCACTTTGTTAAGTATCACATCAACCATTACAACCTGTTTTTTTTTAAAGAGCATAAGGCATTACATTTTAAAGAACATAAAAGACTGTGGAAAACAATTCTCCCCATTTGGACCTTTGTAACTCCTCACTGGCACTAAATACCCTACCCAGCTAACAACCATCCTACTTGCAAGTTAATCAAAACAGCTTTTATTTACACACACTCAACTCAGGTAAGCCAAAAAAAAAAAAAAAAAAAGGATATCCACAAATCAAATAATCACCGTACAGATCTATCAGCACAATTAGTCCTTAAAGATAAACATTTGAAAGAGAAAATAATGGAGAATAAAAATTTTCTTCAACATCTGCTACTCACATAAAATGTCTGGAACAAAAGAACCTCTGTAGTCGAAGTGACTTACCGTTACAGATTTCAGTGTCATACCATGGTAGGTGCCCATAGTGTCGATTTTGAAACCTTCCGTTTCTACAAAGAAAGGGGATCTGATATTAGATTTTATGTATTTTGCAATCAATAGTAAACCTAAAGTAATAATCTGTGTTATAATCTGACAGTTTAGTAGTATAAAAAACAATCAAATACGCTATACATATAACATTAAATGACATACCTATGAAGAAAAAAATTTTAAAAGGGATACTAGTCCCAAAATATATTCAGTATATGCCAGAAAGGCCTTTGTGTAGAAGCTGATTAATACTAGTTCCACAGGGATGCCTGGGTGACTCGGGGGTTGAGTGTCTGCCTTCGGCTCAGGGTGTGACCCGAGTCCCGGGATTGAGTCCCACATCGGGCTCCCTGCATGGAGCCTGCTTCTCCCTCTGCCTATGTCTCTACCTCTACCTCTCTCTCTCTCTGTCTTCTGTGTCTCTCATGAATAAATAAATAAAATCTTTTAAAAAAATACTAATTCTACAATTGTGTTCAAAAGTTTTAATATTTTGGGAATAAACACTTTATAACCTCTCAATTATTTACTTTTAATGCTCAATTACAGTAGCACTAAAAGCTTCCAGTGTTATGAGAAGGCCTTAAAATATGTTTCAAAATTACAATCATAGGCATAAGTTACATAATTTGTAGAAAAGCAATGCTGTAAATAATGATAAAGGTTCCAGAACAGTCTCAAAATGCCTTTCTGTAAAGGGTCTTACATTAAGTAGTTTTCACACTGCAAGCTCTATGTCTCTATCACAACTACTGAATTTTGCAGGTACATTGCAAAAGATAAACAAAATATGTAAACAACTGGGCATGGCCTGATTTGGCCCACAGAGGATCAGATTTGGTCTATGGGCTGTAATATACCAACCCTACCTAACAAAATTCATTCCACAGGAAAAACACTGCAGTGAATAAAAGAATGAACCACTATATTTCTACAGCATGTATTCACAGTACATGCCTTTAAGCAGTAAATGAAGTCAGCACACAAAATTCACTGTATAGAAGCAATATATCCTTTAATAATATTTAAATGGAGATTTCAGATTATGCAGGAAAAAAACAAAAGGTAAAGTTCCAGTTGCTTCTACCTCATTTTTCTCACAAATCAAGATAAATGAAGATCCCAAAAGAAATTACAATTAGTGCCACTTCACTAACTACCACATGGAAATGGTTCACTATTGCATTAGGCAATATACCAAGTAGGCCATTGCAAAATAAGCCCTCATAGTTAACTAAAATCTATGCTTCCCAAGTTCTCAATGTATACATTAATAATTACAGAAACATGATTTGATATACAGAATCTCCAGTCTAAACTTCTGAGCAGAATATCAATAACAAAATATTTATAGATAGCTTATTATATACCAGTCACTATTCTAGACACATACTAGTTTTGTTTTTTAACGATTTTATTTACTTATTCATGAGAGACAGAGAGAGTGAGGCAGAGACATAGGCAGAGGGAGAAGCAGGCTCCCCTCAGGGAGCCCGATGTGGGACTCCATCTCTGAACTCCAGAATCATGCCCTGAGCCGAAAGCAGAGCTTAACCACTGAGCCATCTAGGTATCCCTAGACACTTACTGGCTTAATCCCCACAAGGAAGCTAAAAGATAGATACTATTACTATTACTAGTATTGCAATGTAACACAAGAGGAAATTCAAACAGAATGCAGTAGAAGTAATTTACTAAAATTCACACAAGTAACTGTGACACAGGCAATCTGGATCCAGAACCCATGCAGTTAACCAGGGGTTGGCAATCTAGGGACAGGCGCGGGGAGGGGGTGTGCTCTCATATTCGCACATGGTGGGGAAGAGAGGAAGAGGAAGAGAGAATTCCAAGTAGATCCGCACCCAATGAGAGCCCAACGTGGGGCTCAATCTCACAACTCTGAGATCATATATGCCCTGAGCCGAAATCAAGAATCAGACACTGAACTGAATGAGCCTTCCCAGGCATCCACAGGGGATGGCAAATTTATTCTGTAAAAGTCCAGATAATATTTTAAGGCTCTGCAGACTGCACATCTCTGTCACAATTCAACACTGCTGTCACAGCACCAAGAACCATAGATAATACACAAATGAATGCCACTGTGTTCTAGCAAAAGTTTATTTATAATATGTAATGGGCCAGATTTGGCTTGCAGATGTTTGCCAACACCTGCTCATAAATATTAGGTCACATTACCTCTCACATTCAGCAGCACCACAGTAAGGGGAATATAAAAATTAAGTAACCTGCCTTCTTTTCCTTTGAATCTCTCCTGGTCATATCTGTTGTAGGCAGCAGGGATAGGCTGTTTGGTACGCAATGTGGGATCCTGTAGAAAAATTAATTATGAGCTAAATGTTAAATGTTAATATTTTAAATTGTTATATAAAACTCAGAATAAAAATCAATATAAGTGCAATATTTTCTAAGCTTTTTTCTTACAATAGCCAGTAAGACAAAAGTGGGGAGTCATTTGATACTTATTTTCAAGACATTGTTTACTGGTAGAAAATTACCATTGCTATCAAGGAAAAAGGCAAAGGACTCCAAAGTAAACTTGTATCATGGCAAAATGCAAGGCTCTTACAAACTGCAGAAATAAAATAGGTGTGCTTAATAATTTTATTCTTATTATTTAAATGTCTTCATGAAATAGTAAACCCCAATTATGAACTGTTTTTAACAAAACCCCCAATTCAAGGCTTACTGAATTGACATTTTAGAGCCTTTTAACTAAATTATTCTCCAAATTGTTATTAATCCTTAAATTAAATAAATATAACAAACTCACTATTAATGTACGAGATAAGACAAAAGTTAATAAAGGTGTTATTTGCTAAAATACTTAGAGTAAGTTGTCAATCCATAGATATAAACTTAATTCACAAATGCTTTATCTAAAATTCAGTCTATAATAATCTAAAACAACATATTTAAAGAATATTCCCAAAATTGCTTGGTAAATTCACAGTATTAAAAAAGATTAAAATACTTTTCATTGTGTTATAACAGCATGCTACCGTTAAGTATTAACCCAGATAAAAGACAGTTAATTCAAGACTGTCACTAGGTATATACCTCTATAGTTAAATGGCAAAATTAAAATCCTTATGTATATTAATGATTATGAAAATACAGAGAAAACTCAATCACAAGGACAGTGGTTTAACTGTTTAAGGTCAGACGTAAGTTTCCTACCAATTGCTATTTAAAACATCAACCAATTCATCATTATAAGCACTCTGTGTTTTACCATCACAGCATTTGTTTCACTACTTTTTTTTTTTTTTTTTACTCATCTCTATGTCCTACTAGACCTTAAGCTTAAAGAGGGCAGGTATCGCTTGCATTTTTGTCAGCACACTGCCTGAAAATCATAGGCACTTAAGTACTTGCTGGAAAGTCAACTCAAGTATTAATCTGAATACCAATAAAAGTCCATTACCTCTAAAAAATTAAATACTACTAGATCTTACAAAGACTGAATTAGTGCTCTTTCAAATTTTAATATACTTACAGAAAATTTTATGTAACATAAAAACAATTTTATTTGCATTTTTTTCCTTTGTAGAATCATACGAAACTAGCTAGAAGGATTTTCAACAAAACTGGAGGACATGCTTGAATTTAAACATAGGGCATGTGCCATACATGAAATTTACTTTGGAGGGGTTCTAAGTGGCAACTCAATGAGTGAGGCAGTGACTCTCCCAAATGGCTTAATCTAAGGAACGACAAAAGAACCAAATGATCTGTGACCAGGAGAAACACAATGCATACACCAGGAAGTCACAGATACCAATGACTTCAGAAAAAGCCCCAAAGTGGACTGTAACAGGGATTTATATCTCTAACAATGGTAATGATTCTCCCAAGCAACAATAAATAGGCCTGTTACTTTACAACTATCCAGAGGGCTTTTCCTAATTTACTCCTTTCAGATTCTAACCCAAGTATGTCTCCAGTAAGAATTATTGCTGAAGTAACTTTTTGTTTTGGCTGCTTGAGGTTTTTAAAATTATTGATGTTGGTTTGTCTTTTGACCCGCTTCATCTATTTCTCACACTTCCTACCCACTCCCACCCCTAGCAACCACCAATCAATCAGTCCTCTGTATCTCTAAGATTATTTTGTTTTTAGATTCCACATATAAATGGCATCACAAGGTATGTCTTTCTCTAACTTATCTCACTTAGCAAAATGCCCTCAAGGTCCATCTATGTTGTCACAAAGTCATGATTACATTCTATTTTTATGGCTGAACATTTGTGTGTATATACCACAGTTTCTTTATCCATTCATTGCTCAATGGAAACTTGTTTCCATATCTTGGCTACTGTAAATAATGCTGCAATGAACATGAAGGTGCATATATCTTTTCAAGTTAGTGTTTGCATTTTCTTGAAATAAATACCCAGAAGCAGAATTGCTGGTTCATGCAGCAGTTCTATTTTTAATTTTTTGAGGAACTTACAGGGTGTTTTTTCCTAGTGGCTATGCCAATTTACATTCCCACCAAGAGTGCACAAGGGTTCCTTTTGTTCCACATTCCTGCCAACACTTACTTTCTGTCTTTGATAACAGCCATTCTAACTTGTATGAGGTGAGATCTCATGGAATCAATTTTAATGGTGTGGAAAATTCTCACATATTTCAAGAATACTGAAGCAGCAGCAAAAGGTTTAAAAGCTACCAATCTGAAAACTTTAAGATGTTTTCAAAATTACAATACTGAAAAATAAGAGTCATTTTCATTAAAATTAATATACAAGCAGTAAAACATTCTTACCACAGGTGCTGCATTTGGTGCTGGTCGCTGTTCAGGTGCACGCCCTTCTTCTCTAGCTTTTACAGACTGAAGAATTGCAAAAATATTCTTGGAAAAATTCTAAAATATAAACGGATTTTAATTAGCCCACTTAAAATTAAATATTCAAGGCAGTTAGGTTTACTTACTAAACAATTTCAGACTGTTTTCTTCCTATAACTTCTTCCCTACTATATCATTGAGGTGTTGTTTTTCTTTTGTTTGTTTGTTCTTTTTTACTATACACCAAAATAAAAATCGAACTACTACTAAAAACTTGATCTCTAAAGTAAATATTATAAACCCACTATTATTCATTTTACTTAAACTGTTTAATTGGCTATAAATATATTCATATTCTGCATCTATTCAAATAAATGGGAATTAAGTGACTGAAATAAAAATTAAATAGATTTGTTGTCAAGAGAGGCTTAATTCTTAAAGAAATCAATTACTATATCTTCTAGGTATAATAAACTCCAGTGCTAATCTCAGACTGCTAAAATTTATGAGAGATGTGCAAAGCTTTGAAATACTTCTTGTTAGGAGTCAATGTACACTTTTAAAAGATTTTGAAATTGTGAAGTATTTTTAAAAACTTGATTCATGCCAAGATATCAGCAGTTAACCAAACACTGCTTCTGCACCAGCAGTGCAAAAGTCAACACAGTAAAAAATAATTCTTTTTAAATAAATAAACATCAACACAGTGACAAATGCAAAGTCTTTTCTTTTTTTTAATAAAGATTTTATTTATTTATTCATGAGAGACACAGAGAGAGAGGCAGAGACATTGGCAGAGGGAGAAGCAGGCTCATGAAGGACTCAATCCTGGGACTCTGGGATCCCAACCTGAGCCAAAGGCAGAAGCTCAACCACTGAGCCACCCAGGTGCCCACCAAGAGGTTTTTTAGTGTTCAGAGGATGAAAATGGTATACAGAAAGACTATCAAAATAGTTGCTTCTGATTTTTAAAAATGTTAATGCTCAAAGCAGCAAACCTAGCTACCAAACAATTTTTAAACTATTAGTTTATTCCTTAAATTGTAATGTGATGGCAACAACACTAAATTAAATTAGAGCACTAAGTTTTGAAATGATGGTAAAACCCTGCCACCTAGAGCTCAAAGAAAATTGTTCATTGCGGTTTTTGGAAAATTTAATGTTTGGTCTAAAAGTAAGATGGAGCACAGCACCTGTTTTATTATTCCTTCACTACAACATTCAATTTTTTTGGCTATTATCATGAACATTAGTAGAACATAGGCAGGTTGCAATATTCAACTATTACCCATATTATACAGTGAAAATGAATATCAACATACTACTGTAAATAAGAAAGCTGAAATTTATTTATATTCTCAGATTTCCCTATTATTCTAAGCTCTGGGGAATGATTCCTAATCTCGACTTTATAAAATATGTCAAAGTAGAAAAGGACGAAAATTCTTTACTTCATACACTCTTTTAGAGTAACCTAATTCCTACTAATGCAACATAGTAAATTTGCCTTGACTTGCCAAATGACCAACGTCAAAGTTTGCTTTCATTGGTAACCTCACACACCTCTACAAACTCTTTTACGAAATCATATTAACAAATGTGCATCAATGGAGAATTAACATTTAAGAGAAAATTGGGAGGTGAGGGGGAGAAAGATGAAAATATGTCAATCAAACAGAATCAAAGCAATCTTTTTGGAGATGCATTAAGATACCAAACATCCAGTATCTTTCAAATTTTTGTCCTTAAAAATTTAAAGTATACATCTCCTTTAACCAGAAATTTGCTTCTAGGAGTTAATCTTCTTTTCTTGTATATACATAAATGCACAAAGGTACATGTACAAAGATGTTTTTTAATGCATTATTTCTAACTGTAAATAGAAAGGGAAGGACACACAGAGGGAGGAAAGGAGGAAAAAAGGTAGAGAAAAAAAAAAATCCCACATTCCTAACAAACTAAAAAACAAACTACCTAACGCCATTAATAAAAAATAAATGAATACTGTTATATCCACACAACAGGATATAATGTATGAAATACAGAAATAAATGACTGCTAATTTTCATAAATTTCTACTTTGTGGGGAAAAAACTAGTAACAGTATTAATTACCACACAGCTGGCCATCAATAGTCCCTGCTCATTAGGTTAAAGCAAAAATCTAATCAACAAGAAAACTGGGCTATTTGTTGGATTTACAAATGAGGTATCAGTCAAGGGGCTTGCACTGTAATTCAGTCATTTTCATCAGCTTTTTTGGTGACCAAGATCCCTAAATACTAGAATAGAATGGTAAATATGGCCACTTAAAAATCTACGTTATTATTGATCTTTCTGAGATAAAACTTGAAAATTGCTCCTAATAGTAAATTTTAGCCAATTCTATAACCAACCACAGATTAGATACACATGATCACTCTAATGAATGAAATACTTTAATTACCTTTCCTGTGCTCTGTAAGATAGTTGTTCGTGTCCTCCACACTCTCTCTCTGCTGACAATATCCCGTGTCACATCTACCTCAGCATCCACAAAACTTCTCTGTTTAAGGGCAGTTATATCATCATCTAAGTCAGTCTTGATAGTGGATCTTTTCTTAGCCATAATTTTGGCTTTGATTGCAGCAATTTTTTCCACTGACATAGCTTCAGACAAAGACCTGAAAGCAAATTCTTTTTTTAAAATTTTTATAGCAAGGATCTCCTGAGCACATATTTTCTTACGTTTATAAGTTCTTGGTAAATATGCTTTACATGGCAATAATTAAGATTTCTTCTTATCTAAAACTTACATACTTGGCATTTAATAATCATCTAAGATCTATCAAGAGTCCATGTAGAAATATTACTCCATGAGCAAATCAGTAACTTCTTAGAAGGATCAATACAACAAAAATCTTCACTTGTGTTTATCACTTCCCCCGCAAAAGGCAGAACCTATTAATATAGCTGTTTTCCTTAACATTTTCTCAGACTTTAATTTGCCAATGCCTCTCTATACACACAAATTGTAAATACAAAAGCACACACCACCTTGTGGGTATGTATGTGAAAAACTCATTCTGTAAGAATTTAAAATTTAGCTTTGCCTTGAAATTTATTTCAAGGTTTCAAACCCGTATGTCATAATATGTATAATACCCATTCTATAGGTGACAGAGGGTTTTATATGCCACATCAACATATATTCTATTTACTATCTGAAAGATTAAGCTATATTTTGCAGTTTTCTTTTTCTTTTCTTGATTTTCAAATACCAGGCAAGATAGCAAACAGGGGCTATGCTTTGAGAACTATAAAAAAAAAAAGGCAACGCAAAATATACATTCCATTAAGGTGGTTAGTTTAGTGTCATTTTTCACAAAATGAGAATAAGAGACAGGGTTTGGGTACCTTAACATTTGACAAAATTATTACTCTAATCACAAGAGGATAATCTTGAAATACATTTAAACAACACCTGGAAAACGGACAGGAATTCCTGCAGGTTTAAATATGGTAGTATTAGTATACTAACTTATTAATATGGTATGAAAGTACTTTATAGCAGATGCTCAATATGCATCTAGTATTTGACTCATTTTATATAAGGCTATGCAATTTTTCCTTAAGATCTAAAGCATACCAGCATAATTTAAACTCAAATACTTTTCTAAATTATAATCACACATGAATTGGACTTTCAATCATGGGAGTTTTACTTCCAGCTTAAATGAAGTAGCCAGGACTGGATTAACCCTCCTGCTTTAAACCAACCAGTTAAAATACATAAAACAGCAGCTTACTAAATACCTGGTATCAAGCAATGAAAGACCATAATCACTGACAAGGGAAAACCAGATAAAGTGAGCCCTATGAATGCTGCAGTTTGCTACTTTTTAAGTTTTCAAAATGGTATAGGGAGGAGAATCCAGGCAAAACTGAGTGGATTACCTAATTTGAGAAATGGAGCTGAGAGTCCAGCAAACCAAGGTGGCTGAAATTGATAGGCCTAAGTACCTGAGACAAGAGCTGCAATGAAGGTGCCCATTGAGTATTCAAGGAGAATACAGATTAGCACAGGAGTATGAGGAAACAAGAGCTGGGTATAGAAACTATCCAACAGGATTAGAGGGAACAATGCCTAGGGCTCACAGAGGGTGAAGAAAAGTTCTTGTTCCCACCAGCCAAACTGAAAACCTCACATCCATGGGGCAGTAAGTAGAGTACTCCGAATGGTTTTGTGTAGGCAATGGGCAAGGAATAATTATCCAAACTTAGTGCTGCTCAAATAACAAACCTTAAGTCGAGACACAAAAGGAATAAACTATTTCCAAGTGATGTTACTATATTCCAAAAACAAAACTAAAGAAAATTTAGAAAAATATAAAAATACCTAGCACTCAGTATGGTAAAATGCAAAATATCTAGTACCCCAAGATCACAGGTATGTTTGTAAAGACACAGGAAAATGAGTGGGAAAGAGGAGAAATCTAAATCAAAACCAATTATAAACGGATAAAGATGCAGGATTAGCAAACAAAGAAATTAAAATAATTATAACTCTATTCCACATGTTCAACAAATTAAATAGTGACATGGATTATATATTTAACCAACTTGCACAGATTAAAAAAATATATAATGCTGGTGACTACAAATACATCACAAACATAATTAGAGAATATTAGTGAATGACACTACAGAAAGTATCCAAATGAATAGGGGAAACACCCCCCAAAAGAAAAAAAAAAAAGATTTTAAGAAACAAAGCTAAAAACCTTCTAAGTTCAATAAAAATTATGAACACAAAAATTCCCTCAAAAAGCTCAATGGAAAAAAAAAAAAAAACCCTCAATGGACTTCAAGCACTAGAACCAAGAAGAAAAGGCCACATTATGTGACAATTAAACAGCTCAAAAACTATAATAGAGAAAACTTTTAAAGTACTCAGAGGAAAAAAAGGACACATATCATTACAAAATTTTAAAAATTAAGAAAATAAGGATGACAGCAAACTTCTCATCAGCAACGATGCAACTGAGAAGACAGTGATATAATTAACATCTTTAAAGTACAGATGGTCCTGACTTACAACAGTCTCAGAATTTTTCAACTTTACAATGGTATGAAAGTGATAATGCATTCTGTAGAATACTTTGTACTTCAAATTATGATCTTTTCTCAGGCTAGTGGTAAGTATGTGGTACGATGCTCTCTCATGATGCATGACAGGGGTAGTAAGCCACAGCAATCAGTCAGCTGTGTAATCACCAGGATGATAAATTGATACATTTAAAATTATTCTGTACCCAGACAACCATCCTATTTTATATATACTTCAGTACAGTATTCAATAAATTACATGAGATATTCATAACACTTTTATTATAAAATAGGCTTTATATTAGATAATTTTGTACAACTATAGGCTAATGAAAGTGTTCTTCTAAGCATATGTAAAGTACCTGAGGCTAAGTTATGATGTTTGGTAGGTTAGGTATATTCATTACATTTTCAGCTTACAGTATTTTAAACTTAGGATGGGTTTAACAGGATGTAACTCATCTTAAGTTAAGGAAGACCTGCACTTAAAAAGATATAACTTAAGGGGCACTTGGGTGGCTCACTTGGTTAGGCATCTGCCTTTGGTTCAGATCATGATCCCAGGGTCCTGAGATCGAGCCCCATATCAGGCTCCCAGCTCAGCAGGGAACCTGGTTCTCCCGTTTTCTCTGCCCAGCCCACACTCATGCTCGCTCTCTCTCTCTCTCTCCTGCTCTCTCTCTCTCTCTCTCTCTCAAATAAATACATACAATCTAAAACAAACAAAAACGATGTTATGGGGCACCTGGGTGGCTCAGTGGCTGAGTGTCTGCCTTTGGCTCGGGGTGTGATCCCGGAGTCCCAGGATCAAATCCCATATCGGGCTTCCTGGAGGGAGCCTGCTTCTCTCTCTGCCTATGTCTCTGCCCCTCTCTCTCTGTGTCTCTCAGGAATAAATAAATAAAATCTTTAAAAAAAAGTAATAATAAAAATAAAATAAAGACTTTTTAAAAAAAAAGTTGAAAGAATTCATCACCAACAGGTTTATTTAGAATCAATCACAGCACAAAAAGAAATGTTGAAAGAAATCTTTCAGCAAGATGGAAAGAAACACATAAATAGATTTGAACAAAGAAATGAAGAACAATGGAAATGGTATCTAGGGATTCCTCAGTGGCTCAGTGGTTGAGCCTTTGGCTCAGGGTGTGATCCCAGAGTCCCGGGATCAAGTCCCATATCGGGATTCCTGCAAGGAGCCTGCTTCTCCCTCTGCCTGCGTCTCTGCCTCTCTCTCTCTCTGTGTGTCTCTTATGAAGAAATAAATAAAATCTTAAAATAAATAAATAAAAAAGAAATGGTATCTAAATACGGAAGTTTTTTTTTTTAATATTACTTAAAACTCTTTAAAAGATAACTAAAGAACAATAAATACTGGAGCTTACAACACATACATACATATACCATTTTAAGGTTCCCATACTACGCACGAAGTAGTGTAACACTTGCAAGTAGACTATGATAGTATAAACCGTGCATAATAAAAGTCCTAAAGCAAATACTAATAACAAAACAGTTATAACTAGTAAGTCAACAACAATAAGAAAAAACATAATTACAGCCAATATCCATTTATTCTAAATAAGAAGTCCAAAAACAGGACAGAGACAAACAAAAAAATAAGCAAAATGGACTAAAACTAACCACATCAATAATCATATTAAGTATAAAAGACCTAGACACACAAGAAAAGCAAACTATAAAGACACATAGATCAGCAGCCTGGGTGGCTCAGCGGTTTAGCGCCACCTTCAGTCCAGGGCCTGATCCTGAAGAACCCAGGATGGAGTCCCACATTGGGCTCCCTGCATGGGGCCTGCTTCTCCCTCTGCCTATGTCTCTGCCTCTCTCTCTCTCTCTCCTCTCTCTGTTTCTCATGAATAAATGAATAAAATCTTAAAAAATAATTTTTAAAAAGACACATAGATTAAAAGCAAAAGGATTCCAGTTTTCAAATGAAAAGTATTCTGGACATGGTTGCACAACAGTACAAAAAGACTATGAACCACACACTTTAAAATACTACGATGAGAAACTTTATGTAATTTTTTTTACAACTATTTTAAAAGTTTTTTTTTTAATTTTTATTTATTTATGATAGTCACACACACAGAGAGAGAGAGAGGCAGAGACATATAGGCAGAGGGAGAAGCAGGCTCCATGCACCGGGAGTCCGACGTGGGATTCGATCCTGGGTCTCCAGGATCGCGCCCTGGGCCAAAGGCAGGCGCTAAACCGCTGCGCCACCCAGGGATCCCTTACCACAACTTTTTTAAAAAGTGAAAGGTTAAAAAGCCAAAAAGAAAGCTGGAGGGAGGCCTAGGTGAATATAAATAAAAGTAGATTTTTTTTTAACAAAAAATATTGCCAGAGATAAAGGTCACTCCATAATGATAAAAAGTTATACTCATCAAGACAATAAGACCCTAAACCAAGTTTCAATACCTATCAAGGATTCAAAGTTCTATAAAATATAATCATACTTTGGAATAGATTCGAAATCCGTAGCAAAGATCTTTAGAAAATTCCAAATATTTGGAAACTAAATAACTCACCTGCAAACAATCCATGAGTAAAAGAAAACATTAAAAGGGAAATCAGACAGTAATTTTCAACTGAATGAAAATGAAAACACAACACACCAAAATATGAGATGCCTCTAAAGCAGTAGAGTGTAAGCTGAATATTGATTTCCCTCTAAGAAATCATAAAAAAACACAGCATATTAAATCCAAAGTAAGCAGGACACCCGAGCGGCTCAGTGGTTGAGCATCTGCCTTTGGCTCAGGTAATGATCCCAGGGTCCTAGCATCTAGTCCCACGTTAGGTTCCCCACAGGGAACCTGCCTTTCCCCCTCTGCCTGTGTCTCTGCCTCTCTGTGTCTCTCATGAATAAATGAAAGGATAAATAAACAAACAAATAAATCCAGAGTAAGCAGGAGGAGTAAATCATAAAGATCAGAGCAGAAATTGAAGAATCAAAAAAGAGGGAAAAAAATAAAGGAAAATCCCAATCTGATTCTCTGAGACGATCAATAAAATTTGTCCATTTTGGCCAGGCATTAAGGAAACTAACAGAAAACACACAATTGCTAATATCAAAGAAGGAAAGAAGGGACACTGCTACAAATTCTAGACATCATAAAAGGGCCTTATGAACATTATGCAAATAAATTCGACAATGTAGATGAAATGGACAAATTCTTTCAAAGAAAGAATGAGATGGGATGAGTACTGGGTGTTATACTATATGTTGGCAAGCGGAATTTAAATTAAAAAAAAATTTCTTTAAGAGAGAGAATGAGAACCAGAATAGACCTATAATTATTAAATTAAATACATAGTTGAAAACTTTGCCTGAAATATATGAAAATAAATAAAACTATTTATTTAGTTATAGTACATATAGTACAGACGGCTTCATCAATAAATTTTCCCAAATGCAGGAGGAAATAATACCAATTCTAAACAAACTTTTCCAGAAAATAGAAGAAAAGGAAATATTTTCCAACTCATTCTGAGACCAAAATTATCTTGAAAGGAAACAAGACAAAAACATTTCAAGAAAACTATAGACCTCATAAACATAAGGTACAAAAATTCTATATAAATTTGTAAACATCTAATTCAACAATACATAAAAGAATACTACATCAAGATCGTGGTAGGCAACCACTGAAATGATTAATAATATCCACCTCTTGGCATTCACACCGATGTGTAATCCCCTTCTTGTGGCAGGGGGTGCCTAACCTTGCTTCAAACTTGCTTCTAACAAATAGAATGCTGTACAAGTGTGAGGATGTCACTCTGAAGATTTGGCTATAAAAAAATTACTTCTATCTTGCTTGATAGCTCTCTTGTCCTCCTGCTCGCTCACTCTGATGAAGCATGCTGTAATACTGTGAAATATTCTATGGAGAGATCAACTGGGCAAAGAACCAAGGAACTCCTCTAAGTAACACCTGAGGAACTGAGGTTTTAGTCTAACAACCAATCCATCAGGAACTAAATTCTACCAACAACCACATGAGTGAGCTTAGATGCAGATCCTTCTCCTATCAAGTCTACACATGAGAACACAGTCCTGGCCATCCTGCAATGCTATGAGAGGCACGAAAGCAGAAAAGCTAACTAAAGCATCCCAGGACTCTTGACCCACAGAAACCATGAGATAATAAATATATGTTGGTTAAGCCACTATGTTTCAGGTTAATTTATATTCAGCAAAATAACTAATAAAATAATGAAATATAGTTTATCCATGAAATGCAAACATCAAAAATTAATTTAAATAACTATATTAACAAAAAACCATATGATCATTTCAGCAGAATCAGAAAAGCTCACTGTGACAATAGCCAACATTCCTTTCTCATAAATTCTCAGCAAACAAGGAACAAAAAGATTATTTCCTCAACTTGTTGAAACAAAGAAACCTAAGCTAACATGCTTACTGGTGAAAGAGTGGTTTCCCCTAAGATGAGGAACAAAACAAGAATGTAAAAAAAAAAAAAAAAACAAAACAAAACAAGAATGTCTAATCTCACTGCTTCTTCAACATTGGATTAGTGAGGAATCAGCAAGTCTAGCCAGTGCAATTAGGCAAGAAATGAAAGGGATAAAAAAGAAACATGTATTTTATGTGTAGACCACATGATTATCTATGTAGAAAAGTTAATAAGAGCTACCAAAAAAATTACAAGAACTTATCAATGAGTTTAAACATGATTCTAGGGTACAAGATCCATCCCCAAAGATCGACTGTATTTCTATCCTAAGGATAAATGAAGAATTGAAATTTTTAAACGATCACTTAAAATAACATCAAAAAGTATGAAATATAAAAAAAGATGTATAAGACCTATACACTGAAAATTATGAAATGTTAAAAGAAACTAAAGATCTAAATACCTCCATTAATAAACAAAGAAATAAGTATATAAATCAGAAGACTCAATATTTCTAAGATGTCAATACTCCCCAAATTGGTCTGTCTACAGATTCAGTGCAATCCCAATCAAAATCCCAGTAAGCATTTTGGAAGAACTGACATGTTAATTCCAAAACTTTTGTGGAAATGCAAAGACCCTGAAACGGCAAAAACATCCTTGAAAGTGAAGAGCAAAAGTTGGAAAGCTAACACTATCTGTTTTTTTTTTTTAAGATTTTATTTATTTATTCATGAGAGACAGAGAGAGAGAGAGAGAGAGAGAGGCAGAGACACAGGCAGAGGGAGAAGCAGGCTCCATGCAGGGAGCCTGGCATGGGACTCAATCCCTGGACTCCAGGATCAAGCCCTGGGCTGAAGGCAAGCACTAAACCGAGGTACCCTAGCTGCCCTGTTTTTAAAACTTATAAAGAAACAATAATTACAATTTGATACAGTCAAAAAGACCAACAGATCAACAGTACAGAATGGGTCCGGAAACAGACCTACGCATGAACAACTGATTTTTCACACAAGTACAAAAACAATTCATTGGGTACCAATAGTGCTGAAATGCACAAAACTGAGCTTCAATATCTAGATCATAAAAAAATATATGATTTTGAGCCATACTGTATATCCTACACGAAAAACAACTGAAAGTAGGTCACAAACTTAAATGTAAAACCTAAAACTAAAAAATTCCTACAAGAGAATATGAAATAATCTTTGTTGGCTTTGCTTAGGCTATGTCATAAAAATTTAAACAAGCTGCTCTTCAAAAGGTAGCCAGGAGAATGTAAAGACAAATCAGAATGGGAGAAGTTATCTGCAAAGCCTCTGTATGAAAAAGGACTTCAACAAACCTTCAAAACTCAATAGTAACAATCCAATTTAAAAAATGTACAAAAATCTGAACACACTTCATCAAACATGGTAAAATGGCAAATAAGCACAAAAAAATGCTCATATCACTAATCATGAGGTAAGTGCAAGGTAAACTCACAATGAGATACCATCTCATACCTATTAGCATGGCTAAAATTAAAAAGCCTGACCACACCAAGTGTTGGCAAGGCTGTGAAGAAACTAGAACTCGTATGTATTCATGTTACAAATATGAAATAGTACACTTTGAACAGCCTGATTTCTTAAGAAGAAAGACTATACCACTACACAATTCACTCACTCCTCTCCTAGGTATTTACGCAGTGGAAATGAAAACATAAGTCCATAAAAAACTTGTACACAAATGCCCATAGTTTTAGCTGCAAGAGCCAAAAAACAGCAACAAGTAAAATGTCCATAAATAGGTGCCTGGAAAACAAGCTGTGTTATATCCATACGATACAAAAATGGACTACTCAGCAATAAAGAACTACTGACACATCCAACAATATGGATGAATCTCAAAATAATTATGCTAAGTAAAAGAAGCCAGACTCCCACAAAAGTACATACTACATAATTCCATTTATATTTAACTCTACAAAACACTAATTAATAGTAACGGCAGATCACTGGTTGCCTGGAGAGGGAAGGATGTGGGGATAAGAAGAGTGGAATCTTCTACCTAAAAGGTACACAAGAAATTTATAGAGGGATGTTATATTCATTATCTTATTATAATGGTTTCACAGATGTATACATATGTGAAAGCTTATCAACGTATGTTAAATATGTACAGCTTATCGTTATATGTCAGTCGTCTTCGATAAAGCTTTTAAAAATCAGCATTGAATTTTTAAGTTTGGATAAAACTTCCAAAGCATTATATTGTGCCAAGGAAAATTAAGAAATGATTCTAATTATAGTAAAAATCAGAGATCAACAAAGTAAGACCACAGGCCAAATCCAGCCATGCCAATTCTTTTATGAATTAAGAAATCATAGACTACTTTCCCTACCACAAACATTAGTTACAAAAAAAACCCACATGACCTTAAAGCAAAAAGTATTTAGTATGTGTCACTGTACAAAAAAAGTTTGCTGACCTCTGCTATAAATCAACAAGAGATCACAAAATAAATGAGTGGCTTGGTAATAGAGTAATTTTAAAATGCAAAGATCAATATGGTAATAGAACCCAGAAGGCTTTCATGAAAGCATAATTAACGTTGAATCTCCCTTACCATAAAACAGGCCCACACATCTTTTGAACTTTGGGCACAGAAGCATATAATGAATGTAAAAGATAAAGATAAATGGAGTTAACATATTAAAATCTCCTTTCCCATATACACTTAACACTTTCTACTAAAGAAAATCTTACCTAATCTGTTCAGTCTGTACAATCCCTTCTTTGTGACCCTCCAAACGAGCAGCCAATCTCTCTTTATCAAGGCGCACACACTCTTCATCCTGAAAATAACCACTGGTTAATATTTTAAATTTTTATTTAACTTTTAGAACAATAACAAATTACATGTTCCTTACATAAGTTCCTGCCTATGACATTCCAAGCAACACTGGCCTTTAAGATTACTTTTAGTTAAACACAACAGTAATACATACCTGTTGGATCACATAAGAACTGATTAAAAAGCTTACCAAAGAACTTCAGCAACTTTTTTCTACAATTAAATATTCTTCTCCTAATGTATCATAGCTACTTTCATTCATAAAGTATTATACCACAAATAAATTCCTTTTCTTCAGGAAGGTTTACTACTAAATTTTATGAAAAGCTTTCATCAGTCAAAAATTTCATTTTGGAGATAGTTTTGTGGATCTGTTGCCCCAGGTCCTGAATCCACCAGATTTTTGATGACCAAAGTGAAACTTGAATGGTTTTCAAAGCATGTTCCTTAGAACATCAGGCATTTCCTACAAAGTGCCCCATGGGCCACTTCTCTGAATTCAACTTTGGTAGCTCACCTTTTCTCTATGTTAGAATTTCAGATAAAATTCAGTCTGAAAAGCGGTTAAAAACAAAACTTGATCTAGTTCAATGGCCACATTCAACAAATGAGAAAAACTAAGAATCAGAGTATCTATGGCTAACAAAATATAATATTGTATAAAAAGAATCAGTATATTCAATGTTGTGCTCCATCCAATTCAGGCTCTAATATTAACCTATCATTTAAACAGACATTTTGCTGACATAAATGCAAAGGCAGTATTTTAGCAAATTGCATTAAATTTTAGCCATGTGTAGTGAAGGTATAATACAAATCATTCAAATTCCTTAGGAAACTACTGATTTTAAAGACAAATGCGGCCTAGATTTTAATCAGATCAGAATCTTTGCCCTCAAGATTTCTCTCTCCTAGCATAATGCCTTGCAGGTTCCCAATATATATCTACTGAACTAAAAACTGTTTATGTAACACAGCGTTTATGTAACTCATTTTAACTCTATAAATACTCCGGAAAGAATTTTATTATACTATTTCTTGCTGATTTTTCAAGTAAATGGTATCTTAGCAAATTAGTATTTTTTGACATGTTCAATTTATTTCAAATAATTAAACTGTAAATTCTGGTTTTTCCTCTCAAATAGTATCTCTAAATTCACACATTCTGTTCACGGTGGGTCACAACCTTCTTTCATACAAAGAGCTGGTGAAAACTTCCACTTTACTGCTGCAAAATTTGTAGTCAGTATATATAGTAGAATGGCTGAAAGCCAGACTGTCTAGGTTCTAATCCTGGCTCCATGAACCTCAACCCTCAACAAGTAATTTAGCCTCTCTGAGGGGTTTGCTTATTGATGACATGTATAGTACTGCCAACTTCAGGAGGTTGTGGTTGAGAATTACGTGAGTTAATATAAAATATGCAAAAACATCACCCAGAACAGAGGAAAAACATGAGTTAATTATCATTATTATCATTAACTAAAAAACATCAAGTCCATGTCTCAGAGTATGCTTATAAAATTACATTGTTTTTTTTTTGTTTGTTTTTTTATGATAGTCACAGAAAGAGAGAGAGAGAGGCAGAGACACAGGCAGAGGGAGAAGCAGGCTCCATGCACCGGGAGCCCGACGTGGGATTCGATCCCGGGTCTCCAGGATTGCGCCCTGGGCCAAAGGCAGGGGCCAAACCGCTGCGCCACCCAGGGATCCCATTACATTGTTTTAAAATTAAAATTGTATGGTTTTAGCATCAAATTCTATCAGTGATTCTACAGAACATACTTACTAACAACCCTGCCATTTAACAATTAACTTTTTATCTTTAAGAATGCTTTACTATTTATGTAAGCAAGCAAAAGGTAAAACTATTTGATTTTTATAGAAGTGTGAAAGGAAAAGACTTATGTTTTCTAGTAATGTTAACATTAGTGATGACTACAAGTGTTATTTTTATATTGTTAATTGATACCTGGACCAGTTCAATCATTTCTCAGATTTTAAGTGTACCTCTAGTAGATTATCTTCCATTTTCAGGGAATTTTATATGTAACTGATCTGGGGCTTATTAAAATTTTTAAATAAACAGTCTCATAATCATATAATTGAAATTTCTAAGGCTCAACTTTCTTATGCAATACCCTAGCTGTTCAATGCCTTTTCCTTCTAAAGGTAACTGCATTTCTTATATAGATCCTATTTCATGTGCACTATCCTCATTTGCCAACATTAGCATTCCACTTGCTGGCTATAAAACATTACAAAAAAACACGCAACCTAATACATCAGTATTTTTTTTTAAAGATTGTATTTATTTATCTGAGGGAAGGCATGTGTGCAAGCAGGGGGAGGGGCAGAAGGAGAAAATCTCAAGCAGACTCCAGCTGAGTGCAGGACCCTGAGATCATAACCTGAGATGAAACCAAGAGGAGGATGCTCAACTGACTGAGCCACCCAGGTACACCCCTGGGTACCACCCAGGTACCCCCCTGGTACTTTAGTATTTTAAGAAAGAACTATAATAAGCACTTCATGTTCACAGTCTAAAGACTGAAGCAAACTGGGACCCTGGGTGGCTCAGTGGTTGAGCGCTTGCCTTTGGCTCAGGTTGTGGCCCTGGGGTCCCAGGATCGAGTCCCATTATCAGGCTCCCCCCATGGAGCCTGCCTTTCTCTCTGCCTATGTCTCTGCCTATGTCTCCGCCTCTTGTGAATAAATAAATAAAATCTTAAATAAAAAAAAAAAGAATGAAGCAAATTCTCACACCACCTTATTCCAGGGGTAGGCAAACTACAACCCAAAGATGGGCTCAGTTTGTTTTTTAAAATTTTACTGGAATACAGCCTTGCCAGTTCACTTCTGTACTGCCTAAGCTTGTTTTTGCACTACAATAACAGAGTGGAAGAGTTGGACAGACACTAAATGGCCCAAAAAGCCTAAAATATTTACTTTCTTACCTTTTATATTAGTTTTCCAACTCATGACCTAGCCTAACACTTTCATCAATAGTATAAAAGAAAATAAAGTGATTTGTCTATCACATAGATTGTATATAAGAGATCTTAAAGTATAGTTCAAGTTACTATTAATCAAACATTCACTGTACTACAAGTTTTCCAGGAAAAAAGCTCCTAGGATTACTATGAAAAAGAATTCTTTTCTATACACAAACCCAATTTTGTAATACTACAATTCACATTTAAAATAAAGTCCCATTACCTCAATGCGTGGTTTCTTTGCTTCTGCTAAAACTTCATCTGCAGCTCGTTTCACTTTAAGAAAAAAAAAGTAAATAAATATATAGTACTGGAATAAGTTTTTGAAAAGTTCAATATAAATATGTGACAAAACGTACCTTGGGTAGATCGCTGAAGACCTATTTCTAGAGGGGCACTTCTATCTATGCTTGCTGATGTTGCTGAAGATTTAAAAAGATTTATGTGAGAAGACCAATATTTGAACACATATACTTGACATTATTATAAGTGAAATACTCAATATCTGTTATCTCTTACTTTATATACAGTGATTTCCCAGGAAAAAAGTTGTTAAATAGTCTTGTAAAAACATTTTATTATAAAGATCAATCTGTATTTAAAAGTTGTAAAAGAACAAAATATTTTTAATAATCTAGCTTCCAAATTATTGTGATAAATTGAAATCAACTGGTCACTTCAAAGAACGTATACTCCAATATTACTTACCTACCACACATGCACATGAAATGTACCTAAACATAAATACATAAATATATATTTATAAAGGAAAAGGCTTTAAGTTAGCGTTCACCTTAAAATCACAATTTTTAATTACAATTGCTTAAAAAATTGATTTTAATTAAATCATTCAATTTCTGAATGTTTCAAAATAATGAAATTAACAAAAGGGTGTACCACTCCCCATCTAGGTAGTTCTCACCACCCTGCATAACTATTTAACGATTAACGATCTCTTGTGTATCTTTCTAGAGTTTCTTTTTGTAGATACAAGAAATACATTATACTTTTATTTTTCCCTTTTTAACATAAAATATAGCATATTATACACACTTGAATCTTTTTTTTAACCTCACAAGAGGGCTCTAACACATCAGCATGTACAGCATTCTTCAACTTTCTTTTTAAAATATATATAGTATTTACTGTCTGGATTATACTGTATTTAACTAGTTTTCCCTATCTACTCAGAGGCAGTTCAATTCTATTGGTTTTTGCCACTACAATGACACAATGAAGTTTTGTGTGTGGGCATGCATTTACATATATATATATATATATATATATATAAAATGCTTCATGGATTTTCAAATATACCTCTGGTATAAAGTCCCAGATCCAGTATTTCTGGGTTGATTTTTGTAACAAGAAATACTGCCAAATGTCTTCAGTGGGTTTTTTATCAGTTGACATTATACCTAAAAATATATTCAGGTATCTATTTCCTCAGAGACTCACTAGAGTATATTATTAAACTGCTAAATTTTTAACAAGGCAAAATAAGTGCTATCTGTATAGTTCCAATTTGTAATTATCTTACAAGTGAAATAAGCATTTTTCATATGATTTTATCACCTTTTCTTTGAATTGTATGACTATAATACATTTGGTTGTTGGTCTTTTATGCATGTATTTCTAGGACCACTTCATATTATCAGTGAGACTGGTCCTTTCACTGTGATATGAGTTGAAGTATTTTTTTCCCCATCTTGTTAGGTTTATATAGAACGTTTTCATTTTTATCAACCTATCACTTGAATAATCCTATTTTTCCCCCACTGATTTGACCTCTGTGTCAAATTTACATAATTTAATATTTAACAGATAAAATGTTTTAAAAAACATTTTAAAAATTACTGTGGCTTTAAGTTCTAAACTCTAGAATACTTAGTATTTTCTCATTGCTCTTCTCTAAACTTCAATGACACTTACTTCTACCAAATGGATTTTAGAATCATCATGTCTTGGTTCCAACTCCTCCCTCAAGAAAAATTGTATAGAGACTTTAATTGGGATAATGTTAAATTTAAAATCTATGTTATGAAAAAAAATAAAAAAAATAAAATCTATTATATGAACTGATATCTTTAAGCTATTACATCTTGTATAAGAGCACAGAATGTCTTAAGATTTGCTCAACTTTTTCATTAAACCATGAAATCAACAATTTGTTTTAAAAGTAGCAAAGCAGGGTAGCCCAGGTGGCTCAGCAGTTTAGCGCTGCCTTCAGCCCAGGGCGTGATCCTGGAGACCTGGGATTGAGCCCCACATCAGACTCCCTGCATGGAGCCTGCTTCTCCCTCTGCTTGTGTCTCTGCCTCTCTCTGTGTCTCTCGTGAATAAATAAATAAAACCTTTTAAAAAAATAAATAAATAAAATAAAAGTAGCAAAGTAATATACTTGATGACTAAACTTATTTGTCCTATAGAAACTACAAGAAATGATGTGGATGAATAAATGGAAACTTTTTTTTATGGATTCTGAAAAGAAAAACAATTTATTTGCCTCTCTCCCACTACCCAGCCTATTTGTCATGCTTACTTGAGATGCTTAAAAATAAAGGATCCTTGGGACACCTGGGTGGCTCTGTGGTTAAGTGTCTGCCTTTGCCTCAGAGCATGATCCTGGAGTCCCAGGATGGAATCCCAATCAGGCTCCCTGCAATGGAGCCTGCTTCTCCCTCTGCCTGTGTCTCTGCCTCTCTCTCTCTCTCTCTCTCATAAATAAATAAAATCTTTAAAAAAAAAATCTATTTCTACCAAGTACACCATGATTAAAAAAAAAAAAGCCTTTGCCTATCCTCAATTCCATCCTCCTCATAGAAGAATAAGAATGCCTCCTCAGTCCTCCAACCTTCTTTTATTAGTCTATCTTACACAATGGTAAAAATGTTCAGAGGAATTTTGCATTTGGTATAGCACCAAGTACAATGCCTTTAAGAATAACCCGTCAGTTGGGCATCCGACTCTTACTTTCAGCTCATGTCATGATTACAGGGTCATGAAATGGAGTACCATTTGGGCTCTGCAATCAGCAGGGAATTTGCTGAAGATTCTCTCTCTGCCCCTCCGCGTGCTCGTACTCACACGCACTTTCTTTCAAATAAATAAATCAATCTAAAAAAAAGAATAACCACTCAGTAACTGTTTGCTGAATGTTTAGTGAGGACAGTACAGAAAGACAACTCTTTTTGAATTACGATTTTTATTTGAGAGAGATAGCAAGAGAGAAAGCACAAATGGGGAGGAGAGGGAGAAGCAGGCTCTCCACTGAGCAGGGAGCCCCATGTGGGACCAGGACCCTGAGATCATGACTCAAGCTGAAGGCAGCCACTCAAACTGAGCCACCCAAGTGTCCCCAGAAACACAACTCTTGATGATGGTCTTTCCATTATGCAAGATACTCTGGGCAAATCAATCTCACTGTTAAACCCGTAGCACACAGTATATGATAAGACAGCTATTCATGACTTAAAGGTAGTAAATTCTACCCCAAGGAAGTTTAAAACCAAACAGTCTTAGATTATATTGATTTATTTAAATTACATTAACTTATTCATATCTATCAAATTCTATTATATATCATTTATTTATTTATTTTTTAATTTATTTATTTATGATAGTCACACAGAGAGAGAGAGAGGCAGAGACACAGGCAGAGGGAGAAGCAGGCTCCATGCACCGGGAGCCCGATATGGGATTCGATCCCGGGTCTCCAGGATCGCGCCCTGGGCCAAAGGCAGGCGCCAAACCGCTGCGCCACTCATATCATTTATATCAATTTATTATATCTATTCATATTTTTTAGACAGCAAATTAATAATTACTCATTTATACAGTAAGCACCTACTATTGATTACTATTCTAAATGCTGTGTTTTTAACAATTGTCTGCTTCCTTAGAGTTTACCCTCTAACGGGGCAGACTATATAGAAGTAAACAAATCTGTAATTTCAAGTCAATATAAGGGATTTGATAAAAAATAAATCAGGAAGATACTGTACTCAGATGGGCATATGTGGGGAAACAATGCTATTTTATATTTTAGAGTGCTAAGTTCTTTTTGACAGAAGTTTTAAGCACAAATATGAATGAGAGTCTAAGAAATAAGACATGAGACAATGTAGAGAAATAGAACTGAACACAGAGAAAACAGCGAGTACAAGGGTTCAAAACGTTAGGAAAGGGTAGCCCAGATGGCTCAGCGGTTTAGTGCAGGCTTCAGCCCTGGGCCTGATCCTGGAGACCCGGGATAGAGTCCCACGTCAGGCTCCCTGCATGGAGCCTGCTTCTCCCTCTGCCTGTATTTCTGTCTGCCTCTCTCTCTCTCTCTCTCTCTCTCTGCCTCTCTCTCTGTCTCTCATGAATAAATAAAATCTTAAAAAAATAAGTTAGGATAATTAAAAGAATCAGTAAGACTGAGCTGCTATGAGCAAAGGAAGGTTGGAAGAAGATGAGGCCACAGAGATTCAGGCAGAAGCAAGATCACGTAGGTCAGAACAAGATAAGGAATGTGAGCTTTATTCTAAGTTCTATGGGAAGCCATAGAATGGGCTGGAGCAGGTAAGTGACACAATCAAGTTTATATATGTTTTCAAAAACAGGTCACTCTAATAGGTCAGCAAAGATTATACTATAAAATATAAAGTAGGGACCTATAAGACCTATGCAAGTCTAAAGGGAAAGGATGGGACAGGGTGGGAACAGAGTGGTTAAGAAATTGTCATACTTTTAAAGCTAAAGAAAAGGATTTGTTCGTGAAATCAAAATAATCAAAGATTTCTCCACGGTTTTTGGCCTAAACAACTACATGAATGGGATAGCATTTACTGAGATGGGAACACTGGGAGACCAGATCTGCTATTTTAGTTTTGTCTGAGGGAGAATGGAAGGAGGGAATCAACATTCTATTTCAGATATGTTGAATTTAATATACCTATTAAATATCCAAAGGAAGATGTGGACAGTGAATTTATAATTTGGAGCTTAGGAATAGGTCAGTGTTGAAGATAAGGGAGTTATGCAAAATAAAATGAGAAACGGACAGTGAACACACATAGAATTAAGAGAGCCTGGTGCCCCAAATGCCAAGTGAAGAAAAGGGTAGTAGTCCACAGTATCAAATGCAGTTAAGAGGTCAAGCAAGATATGGATAAGAAACACCAAAGGATGGGATCCCTGGGTGGCGCAGCGGTTTGGCGCCTGCCTTTGGCCCAGGGCGCGATCCTGGAGACCCGGGATCGAATCCCACGTCGGGCTCCCGGTGCATGGAGCCTGCTTCTCCCTCTGCCTGTGTCTCTGCCTCTCTCTCTCTCTCTGTATGACTATCGTAAATAAAAAAAAATAAAAAAAAAAAAAATAAAAAAAAAAAAAAAGAAACACCAAAGGAAATGGTAACCCTAAAGTCCGTGTTTACCTTACAACAGTAATTTCAGTGATACGGTGAGTAGGAAAGCCAGATTGGCGTGAATTCAGGAGGGAAGCAGTGGTATTAAGCAACTGTTAACAAAGAATTTTGCAATAAAAAGGAGAAGACAAATTCAACAGTAGATGCTAGGAATGTGGGGTCAAAAATTGTTTTTAAATGAGAGATCTTACAGTACGCATTTCAAAGGGAATGATGCAGAGAAAAGGAGAAAGATGATGATGCAAGAGAAAAACAACAATTTACAAAGGCAAAATCTTTGAAAGTGTGAGAGGAAATGGAATCTATATAGACAGAGAAGTGGTAATTGACCGTGGGAGGGAAAATAGTGCATTGACCGTAACAAGAAAAGAATGGAGAGCATATGCACAACTATCCTTCTAGTAGGTTAATTTTTTAGTGGAAATACAAATTCTCTTCCTGTTGCTTCTTATTTCACAGAGGAGGGAAAGAAACAATGGCTATTTAAGAGTGAGAGCAACTTAGAAATTACTCACATGCTTCACCATTGAGATATCCAAGTAGATCTTTTCGGTCAGGTCTTCTAACCACAGGAATATTTTCAGTCTGAGGTCAAAATTTTAAATTAGTTATCAAATCAACAACAAGTATAAGAAACATAATAAAGACAAACATTGTATACTGCCTGAATTTTATTCCAACATATCTCAGTAACATTTATTTAGGACTTCATCTTTAGAAAACTAGGCTAAAAAAAACCTAGTAAAAGTTTTAAAAAATTTTAAGAATATTAATTTTTAATAACTTCATTTTGAAATTCAAATAAGATATATAAAAGATAACCATCAAAAATGAAACAATGACTCATCCTTCTTCAAAAAATCAATTCCAGTCTTTTTTGTTCCCTTGGCTTAAGTATTTTTTAATTTTACTCATGATACTTTTCACATTTTAAGCAATTATCTTTTTAGACCTATTGCCTGCTCATTTTATAGATTTCCAAGTACCTTCTCGCCTCAAACACAAAAGAGACTTCCTCAAAATATTCTACTTGAACTCTGAAATATACTAACTTAGCCATTAAATTAAGTTTTCATAATTAACAACAGATATGTGTTATTTAAGCATGAAAAAACTTAGGACATAATATAGGACAACATTAACGGTGGTTTTTTACTTTCCACATTACACATTTCCTTTTTATCCTTGAATGTATACAAATTCTGTAAGGAAGGGGCAAAGATTTTAAAAAAATTAAATCTGGAAAATATATCTATTTTGGTAAAATGGATAATTTTCCTTTAATCTCCTACACTAGCAGTTTTGTAAAGAGGTATGCAACACAAATAAAACTGTATACTTTAGTCACCAAGTCATCTTGGGGCCATGAATTCAACGAATCCACTAATTATCACAATCTCTCATATCATTTTTATAATGTAAACAAATAACTGAGTACAGGAATGACTGGTGGCTGCCAAGATTATATAATTAAAATCCCTCTGTCACTTTATATAACAACAATGAAGCAACAAGTATTCTTTGGCTAATTATCTCATACTGACTACTGATTAGATTTCACCACACCAAACATTGTGCACACTCTCCCTGATGTTAGAAATAAACCATATTTATATTTAGTCACTTAAAATTAACCTTTTTTTTTTTTTTAAAAGGGCAGGCTAATTTTTAATTTCTGCTAGGAGTATAAAATTTAAGAGCCAACAGATTTGTGTGTGCTTGTTTTTAAAAACTAGTCTACTTGGAGTATATCATAAATAGCTAAAAGATTTGAATTAATTTTCTTTAAATTACTGTTTCTAAGTCTGATAACACACTCCACCATTTGGTTACTAATGAATCATGTCTATATAATAAAGCCAATTGAGAAAGAGAGAAGTCCTACTCATGCTAAAATAGGAGCTAAGGGTCAGGAAAACTTATTTCAGAAATGGCCTGCTCACAAGAAAGAGCAAACAACACAAAAGAGGAAAAAACTACATTTATAGAACTCCAGAATTACAGAATTCTGCCCTTTCAATCTGTGACGTATTTAAGAAAAACAAAAGACTTAAATAGCATGTGAAGAAGGTTCCTAAGTTTCACAGTAACAATTACAGCCATCAGTTGCATGCTACTATCATTTCCCAATATAATCTCTAAATCTAAACCAAGTATCTGGATCATCTTTATTACCACAAAATGAATGAACATAGCCAACAAAATATTCTAACTACTGCCTAATTCAGTTTTTAAAAGATTTAAGATGAGGTAACATAAGTTTATAGAGATGCTGTTATTTTCATCCCACTATTTCCCAAATCCCAAGTAGTTTCAAACTGTAATTTTTTCTATACGTATTAGATGCTGAGTATTTCCTACTCAGAAAAACAGTGGTCAAATACTAAGATGCTGAAAGCAAGCAAAACTGAAAACAAATGAGTTTATCAGTAACGTATAAAGGGTTTATTAAACTACTTAAAAATTTAATTTTAAAGTTGTCTATTAATCTTATTTTTGATGCCCCCAAAAAAGTTTTCTTGAGATTAGAGTTCTAAATATCAAGAGTCCTTCCACAGGCTTATGAATTTCTAAAAACATTCCTACAAATGCCTTCAAAATTTCTGTTCTTGTAAACAGTGTCCACTTTTTACATGAAAGTCACAGATTTAAAAATCTGCATAAATCACAGTCATCTAATTTTGACCCTCCGGTAGCCTTTCATACAAACCTTTTTTCTTTTGATTTGAAACCCATGAGGGAAGTGATCCATGCCAAATAATACCTACCACCAAAAAACCAAAAACCCAAAAAAGTTTTAAAATACATTTTACTTACGGCTGCACGTCGGACATAAACAGGATGAGAAAGGTGCACATTATTAAGTAGAAACAAGATAGAATCCAATGTGTAGTACTCTCTGGGTTGGCCTTCTTTTCCAGTCCTGAAGTAATTAAAACAAAATTTTCCCTCAATTTTAATTCAACTCTTTGGACTTAATTATACACATGAATTTATCTATATTTGCTTTGTTACCCAAGAAAGGATTTAACATGGCTAACAAAAATACCCATAAAAGTATGAAATTTAATAAGTGGAAATGTCATTAAAGCAAAAGAACGCAAAGAAGACAGAACAAGAAGCAAGAAGGAAAGCATACCACATTCACATCCTAAGGTACTATATACTTTTTAGAATTTGCCCCAAATTTGTTTCTATCTGGCCTTTGTCAACAGAGAGAGAAACCTTATCAGTTATAGATTGGAAAGGAAAAAAAATTAAAAAAAAAAAAAGACTGGAAAGGAGCCACAAGAGAAAACAAACTGAGGAGGAGAAGGACAACTATTGCCAGTGCTAAACTTACAAGAAATTTATCCTTAGTCTCCTAAGTTAAGTACTGCTATAAACAACATCCCTAACAACACTCTTACAGTAAACACAACTATGAATTTCAGAGGTGTGATTCTTATGACATCCCTCAAAAATCTAACCAATAGTGTAAAATCATAATGAATTGTGATAAAACAATGCAGTTTATAGGGGCAAGCTTTTTTAATGAAATCACATAATGCTATCTCTTCAACAGCATTCATGTCCAATCTCACCCTTCCCACGAAGACTCTCGTCACCTAAAAACATCATTATTTAAAGTCATCTGAATACAGCCCAAAATAATCAGCCCCAAACTACAATTCTAGCCTGCATTTCCACTTCTTTAAACTGACATCTTTCAAACCATATCATCACTACCAATTACTGTACGATGAAATATAACATACAGGTAACCAGTTCATTTTAATGATATAGGAGAGCAAAGTCACAATGTACTGCCTGCAAGAAGGGATTAACGACTGCTGACAGTTATCAAGTTGGATGTGTGTACACACGCATACAGAGATGAACTTAAACGAAACGAAAATATATTTATTGGGGTGGTTCACTGTTGTTAAAGCTTGAAGCCGCTCTAAGCAGTTCTTTTTCACTACTGGCTTCGTCGGACCATGGAGAAACATTTCCCTTCCAGCTCACAGGCTGTTAAGCGTACAAGACCTACCCCATCGGGTCACCCTCAAGTTCTTCACCCATTCTTTAAGGCTTACTCATCTGTTCATGAAAAACGTGTAGCACGTCTACATCCCAAACACACTTCCATGAAACCTTTTCTGACACCCCAAGCCAGAAGTGGTTACTCTCTTAGGGACCAGAGCGCATTTCTCACCAACTTCTCTGTTTTATCTCATCTCCTCTTGATTAAGTGAACCTCCTTTGAGTCAGGAATCAAGGTGCTAAGAATTTTCTCTATTTCTCACATCGAACCGCCTTGCCCTACACCACGACTACTTCTTAACCACAAGGGGGGAAAAAAGAAAAAGAAAAAGAAAAAAAAAACAGCTAAAATTCCAATCCAATGCGATTGTCTGCGTAAAATTCTTTCCAAAGGACAAAACGCAGGGAACTCAGAATGATGTCACTGCCATCAACATGTCATAAAGCTAATCAAACCATAAGCCCCTCGAGGCCAAAAAGCTAGCAACCAACAAACCACACCTTCCCTAGCTTTTCATCCACTGTTCCTTCATAAGAGCCCAAGGTTCCCCCCATTCAATCAAGCCAAACGGGTATGGAGGCTCTGGCCCAAGGTTCTACCCGTTCGAGCCAAGTACCGACGACAAGGAACACCCCTACAAAGGTCCCGCACCATAGTCGGACCTATTTCGAGGTAATGTCGCCTCACGACTTGATATCCAGAAAACCCGGCGCGGATCAACATTCTTAAAACGTCGCTCTTCAGAGCACATTTCCTAAAACCCCACAAGGCACCCCCCCCCCGCCGCCCTCCATTTCGCCCGGCAACTTTCTCCCTGAGGTAACTCCTGCCTTCCGCCCGCCCCGCCCCCCCCCAAGAGGGGCTGTGAGGACTCTCCCCGAGTGACCCGATCTTACTCCCGTTCTGACCTCACACACGGTCGGTTCTTTGCTCTTCTTGAGGGAAGGAATTAACGGAAAAGGAAAAGAAACCGACCCGGAGCTGCAAGGGGCAGCAGGGACACTTACAGCCACACAGGGCAGCCTCCAAGAGGGAAAAAAAAAAAAGAAAAACCGAAGAACACGCGCGGTGCGCCCCTTTCTGCACCTACAACGCGTTGCTAACACTCGACCACTTACCGGCAAAAAATGAACCAGAAAAGTCAGAAACTCCCAAGCATCCCCTTTCCCTGCGGCGTCCCAGACACTGAAACAAATGGCCCCGTCCGGGCGCGCCTCCTCCTAGTCCCTCCTCACCTCAAAGTACAACTTCTTTTCCAGTGAGAAACTTTTACCCGGAGACCCGTTTTGTGTTTTTTTTTTTTGGTTTTTTTTTTCTTGTTTTTGCTTTTGTTTTGTTTTTTTTTTTTCCCCTCCATCCCCAAAGGGAGCCGGGGGGAGGGGTCAGGAAAGAGGTCGCCTGGGGGCGCCCCCCCCCCAGCCCGGGCCTCCCCAGGCCACAGCCGCGCCGGACCTACCCCCAAACTACATAGTTGGTCTTCACGTTCTTGGGCCACGAGAACTCGCCGAAGATCACTTCGTCTCCCTTGACCACAATCTCCTTCTTCTGGATGTTGTACTGTCGCAGGACGCTGAGCACGTCCGCCATCTTCCCCCCCCCTCGCCGCCGCCGGCCCCGGGCGAAGCCGCCGCCGCCGCCGCCGCCGCGCCTGCCGCCTCCTTCCCCAGTCGCCTCGCCCTCTTCCCCCGCCGCCGCCGCCGCCGCCGCCGCCGCCGCCGCCGCCGCCGCCGCCGCGCACCAACAGCAGCCGCAGAAGCAGCCGTCCTCGCCTACGACAGCGGCTGAGGCGGCAGACACCCAGGCCGCCGAGGACCCCGCGCTTGACGGCAAGGCCCCGCCGCCGGCTGCCCGCGGAGAACGCCTGACTGCGCGCCGCCAGCGCCGCACGGCCGCCGCCAGGGGGAGCCGCCGCCGCCGCCGGGAACACGCCCCTCCCAGACTCCCACTCGGCACCGGCCCGAATCCCGGCCCGCAACTCCGAGCGCAGGGACACCGCGCCCACGTACGGCGCCCGGACGGCGAGGGCTGCCGGCGCACGCGCACGCGCACGCGCACGGACACGCGCACGGACACGCGCACGCGCACGGACACGCCCCTCGCCCCTCGCCCCTCGCCCCTCGCCCCTCGCCGCGCGCACGCGGCCAGCGACAGGTGCGCGCGCACCTGCAAGGAAGCCGCGTCCTGCTGTCGCCGACCCACCTGGGCTCTCGGCTCGTCCCTTTGGAAGGGATGGAGCCTCGCGGATTTGCAGAGCCCTAGGGTCACCTGACCAGCCACCTGAGACCCACTAAGTGGCCTCCAGGTCTTAGTGATCAGATGAGCGCCCCTTTACAAGGGTGAGGATGCTTGGGGGGCGGGGGGTACTTTGCTGGGGGGGGAGCAGCGTTGGTGTATTCGCAGAGTGGGGAAGACCTAGCCCGGGCGAGATCAGCCCCAGTCTCCTGTATCTCTCAGCTGCTGTTTGACCTTGGCCAAGATACGTCGTCACAGCATTAATCGGCTCCTGGAGAAAAGGGGTTAGCATGAGAGTAAGATGAAAGAAAGCGTCTAGCAAGTCATCAGAATAACAAAAATGTTGGGTCTTCCACTTCATTTCCTGAGATGATGACTTTTCCCAACCTGGCCCTTTCTCCCTGCCAGCCTCCAAGCGGTGTGTTTAAATGGCTCTGTTCACAGACCCTAAGGAAACACTTAGGAAACAGACTCCGACCTGTCAGAATTTGAACACTTTCGAATTACTTGATTTTATTTTTTTTTTATTGGCACTCAAATGGCCATGCTGGAATCAATTAAATAAATTCAATATATTGAGCCCTTTACACCTTAAACCTTAAACACTAAACATACGGGGCCCGTATTTTTTTTTTTTTTATTCCCTTTACTAGAGCAGAAGCGGGGGCGGGGGAGAAGGCAACTTCTTTATTGCCATAACCCAAATCTTGACATGCTTTCAAAGGGATCCATTTTTATTATGTGCACTATAGAGGAATATAGAAGGGTGTGGTTCACTTCTTATACTGTCTATAACCGTTTTGCAAATGAATCTGAAAAACTGTGTCTATTCTGCAAGTGATCCTATCTCTGTGGTATTTTCCTGGATCTCACTGCATAAACAAATACTATAAAGAAGTCACTACTCTCTGATCTCCCACACTGTCTACTCTATTGATGATTCTGTCAGAGCACCCAGTACCACTTGACAGCCCTTATTTACTTGCCTGCCTCTTTCTGCAAAACTAAAAGGCAGTAGACCAGTGTTGTCATATCCTAGTGTCTACCATGTTGTTTGGCACATTATTGGCTCCTAGGAAATGTTAAATTAATAAATGGATAGATGAGTTCAGCAAACTCAAGATTTGATGGATAAGAGAGTCAATAATAGTTCCCTCACGTGATACTTAATTTCATTTCATACACAAACAATGATTGTTTTAGTCCAATCAGGCTGCTATAAGAGAATACCATAGACTGAGGGGTGGGGGGCTTATAAATAACAGAAACTTCTTTCTCATAGTTGCAGAGGCAAGGAAATCCAAGGTCAGGATGCCAGCAGATTCGTCGTCTGGTAAGAGGCTGCCTTCTGGTTCATAGACCTGTCTTCATATTGCATACTCACATAATGGAAGAAAAAGGGAGCTCTCTGGAGTCCTTTTTTATGAGGTTCTATCACCTTCTAGAGGCCTTGTTCCTAATACCATCATCTTGGGGTCAGGATTTCAACATATGAAGGGGAGGTGGGGTGACCACAAAATATTCAGTCTATTACAATGACCAGATAGTCTCTTAGGATAAATTTGAAGGTAGTGATTTGAGGGTAGTGATTCTTAAACTCAGTGTAATGAGACATTAGTAATTTGTTGCTTATAACAAAGAAATGTGCCGATCATTTATTTTTTATTTAAATCTTATGCAATTACCTTACTAGTATTAATTCAGTAATGTTGGTGCCAAAACACAATAAAAGGTGAGATTAGTACTAGAGCTGAAAACCTACAAACTTAACTAGAAAAAAATTGGAAGATCGGTCTTCTTTGTCTTGGGTGAAAGCTGACCACGTCGCCAGTCATCAGTGCCTGAAGAATTCGTAACAATTCTTAGTTTGAATTCTCCTCATAGAGTAAATGTCTAGCAATCAGGAGAAAGTGGTACATCTTTTGATCTTTTTTAAAGATTTTGTTTATTTGAGAGAGAAAGCACAGCTGGAAGGAGGGACAGAGGGAGAGGGAGAAGCAGGCTCCCCGTTGAGCAGGGAGCCGGACATGGGCTCCATCCCAGGACCCCGGGATTATGACCTGAGCCAAAGGCAGACGCTTAACCAACTGAGCCACTCAGGCCACCTCCCTAATGGTATATCTTTTTGGTTGAAAACCATGGATGAGAGATCATTACCTTAGAGTTTTGCCACTATGCCCACTGTTAACTATACCTGCCTGATAAAATCCTTTCCATTAATGTCCAAGTACAGTTATATTCTGATACCTTTTCCAGATGACTAAATCTCCAGGTTTTAAACTAAGAAGGGCATGTTTAAATAGGTATTTTGGAAATGCAGCTTGAACTTTTTAATGATAATTTTGGAGGTACCATAAATCACTTACAGTATTTATCCATCTTAGTTTGTAATGGGTAGAATCTAGGATTAGAAGTAAATGTTTCAAATGCAAAAGGGTGGGGGCTAATTGTTAACTCACGAACAGGTAATCTAAGGGCTTCAGAGTATGACTCTTATTGCCACCAAGGCCAATGGCAAGAGTAATAAGCCATGGAAGTTCAAAATTTTCTGAGAGCCTTGCTAATTTTGAATTTAGGATTCCATTAATTCTATTTTTTCCCTAAAGTTTGTGGAAGATAAGGATGCAGAGCCATGAAACACTTCTGCTCAATCCTGAGAATAAACATGCAACCTGAACATATTCATAGCTTATTACCAAAGGAATTTGGCAGTGTTCAGAGGGCTTTGGCTTCTGTACCATTTCCCATGTTTACAGTCTTGCTGGATTATGTCTTGGGCTGATAAGATGCACACTGGAAATATTCTCAGCAATACCTGTGTAATTACCCCACTAATGTTGGTTCCATATCATCATCAATTTATCTCTGCTATTTTGTTTAATATCATGAGGCATTCTGATAATCCATCTTTAAAATTGTCTCTTCCTTAAATAATAGCAAAACACCTAAAAGTTTTTAATTTGTCCATTTTAGAGGTTACTGTAGAGGTTTAGGGATTCTGTTTTCAAAAGATTCTAAGGTCATGGGATAATTTACATATTATCACATCTTATACACATACACACACACACACGTATACATTAATGCTTGAAGATTAGGATTTTATGATGATGAAGAGCACATTATTTAAGCTTATCATTTTTGAAATGCAGAAAACACTGTATATATGCATATACATATATACAAATTTCTGTTATATGCATGTATGTATACCTTTTATCAGCTGGTAGATTTAGGTAACAGAAATTAGGTATCTGAACTAATTTAAGTCTGGGAGAGCCTTATATTTTAAGGGTAAATTTTAAATATTTGATAGCATAGCCCTCTTGACGGTTTTTAGTTATTTTTATTCAGGAACCATCAACAAACAGAATTAAATCAGACACATCCAGGAGAGTTTCAGGGGTGTGTGTTATGGTTCATTTCCTAACTGAGATAAGCAATGATTAGATTTTCCTTCTTTTGGTAAAGGAAAGACATCACTGGATTTAGTGTTATAGTCATGGGTAGCGCTGTGTCAGGGAAATGAGAGTATTTTATTGGAGGTTAGGCAACTGCCTGAGAAATGATGGGTGATTTTTATCAATGAAACAGTCTGAGTAGATTAGGGAACAGTTAGGTTTAGTGGAGACCCTAGAGCAGGTAACGGAAGCTTTCCCATGTTTTGCTGTGGTTTGTTACAGCTCTTAGGACAGGTACACTTTAGCAACTGCACCTAATAAAAGACTGAAATAAGTAATAAATTTCCAAAGAGTCTGTACTTTTAGTGCTTATTCAGACTTTTCATGAACAAAAAGAGAAAGAAATTTTGAATCTAGGATCCTGGGTACAAATATTCTGAGAGACTTCTTTCCACTTGAAAAGTATACAATCATAGAAAAATATTTTTTTAAAAGATTTTATTTATTTATTTACCAGAAAGAGAGCACAGGCAAAAGGAGCAGGAGAGGGAGAAGCAGGCTGCCTGCTGAGCAAGGAGATTGATGTAGGGCTCCATCCCAGGACCCTGGGATCATGACCTGGACACTCAACCAACTGAGCTACCCAGGCACCCCAGAAAAATATTTTTGTTAACACATTTTGTTTATATATAATTAACCTAAGAAGATGAACCTCATTTTGCATTGTCAATCTTTCCCTAACTTTTTTTTTTTTTATGATAGTCACACAGAGAGAGAGAGGCAGAGACACAGACACAGGCAGAGGGAGAAGCAGGCTCCATGCACTGGGAGCCAGACGTGGGATTCGATCCCGGGTCTCCAGGATCGCGCCCTGGGCCAAAGGCAGGCGCTAAACCGCTGTGCCACCCAGGGATCCCTTTTCCCTAACATTTACAAACGATAATTTCTCATAATAATTTTTTAGAACTTGAAGAATTCTGGAAAAACCTAATTATGTTTATTGTCCTTTCATGTGTAAAGGAGCAATTCTTTTTGTTTCCTAATGGCCATTTGGGGAGCCTTGATAAGAGTTTAGGTATTATTCTGAATCTGGGGCCTAAATTGAGAAAAAGAAAAATTAAAAATAGTTATTAAAGCAAACAAGAATTCTCTTAAGTATTTTTTTAATGTACCTTTTTTTAATATTTTATTTACTTATTTGAGAGAGAGAGAGAGAGAGAGAGCACAAACAGGGGCAGGAAGGGAAGAAGGAGAGGAAGAGGGAGAAGCTGACTCCCTCTGAGCAGGGAACCCATTGCTGTACTAGATCCCAGGATCCTGGGATCATGACCTGGGTGGAAGGCAGACACTTAATGGACTGAGCCACCCAGGTATCCAAGAATTTTCTAAGTAATTAAAGACAGGAAATATCTATAGGCAACATTGTAAAAACATACCAATAGACAACTATGGTGTTAGGAGCTGAATTTTTTCAAAAGTAAAGAGGAGTCTTTGCAGAATGGTTTAAGAATAGATGATAAAGCACTAAGAATTAACAAATATTTTGGTGATAAAAAGGAACATCTAGTAATTTGAGCACAGATTAACTGAATCTTCTTACAGATTATATTCTAACAGATTATATTCAAATTTATATTCTAACTTTACTCTTTTTGTACATTATTCACATAACTTATCAATATAAGATTTATAAATATACCTTTAGGGGTGCCTGGGTGGTTTAGTCAGTTAAATGTCTGCCTTCAGCTCAGGTTGTGATCCTGAGGTCCTGAGATTGAGCCCCAAGTTGGGCTCACTGCTCAGCAGGGAGCCTGCTTCTCCCTCTCCTCTTCTCTCATGCTCTCTCCTCACTATCTCTGTCTCTCTCTCTCTCTCAAATAAATAAATAAAATCTTAAGAAATAATAACAAATAAATAAATATATCCTTATGTATGTGTGTATTTAGGCACAAATGAATATATAAATATACAAATAATTAACATATTTGAAGGATTTTTAAAAGATTTTATTTATTTATTTAAGAGAGCTAGAGAGGGGAGGAGCAGAGGATGAGGGACAGCCTGATGTGAGGCTCGATCCAACGACCCTGAGACCATGACCTGAGCCAAAATCAAGAGTTGGACCCTTAACTGACTGAGCCACCCAGGTGCCCCAATATTTGAAATTTTTAACAGAAGCCTTAAAATATGTATGTTATTGTATATAGTACATATGTATATATATTTTAAGATATATATAGATATTTACTTCAAAGAAAAATGTAAAAAGAAAAGCTTCAAAACCAGACTGTGTTGCCCTGTTGAGAATGTCTAATGTATATTTAAAGTATTGGAAAGCCGGCATTTTTACTGGCTTTTTATTTCACTAGGACATACTGATTGTAATTGTAAAACAAAATTAGGAAATAGAGGGGCTGGTGGAAGCCAGAAGAGACAGAGAAGGGCCACTGGCAGGGGCACAGAACAATGAGCAGGTGCTTTGGGAGTAAGGCTGTAGGAGATGAAGGTCACTGGTCTCAATTCTGGGGTGGATGTCTGGCCAACCATCTGGTGTCCAAGGGGAGGCAGGATTTGAGAAGAGGGCCTCCCTAGGCCTCCAAACAAATCTCTAGCTTGCCCTCCCAATGGATATGCTTTCCAAATCCACACAGTCCCAGGAGGATTCACTTTCAGATGTGTAGTAACAATACAGGAAGCCTAAGACTATAGCACCTGTGATGGGCAAAATCCAGTGTGACCAGCAACATTTGTATGTGGCATCTTTGGAAGGGTCTTTGCTACCACTTTCAGGTTTGAGGTCATTTGGATGCACATCACCAATACAGTACGGCTTGGGCATTTCTCTGGCATCAAAGCAGTGGCCTACATCTTCAACACTTTCACTTGCATCTGCACCAGCTTGTTCCAGCAGAACCTCTTCTTCCCTAGGTTGTCTGACCAATAGATTGTGACAGAAGTGGTGCCGTGCAAGTTTTGAAGTTCAGACCTCAAGAGACTTCGAGTTTCCATCTTTACCACATGAGAACACTACCCTGACAGAGATCAAGATGTATACATAATATTAAATTTAACATCTTGATAAGCAGTAATACCTCTCTTTTTTTTAAAGATTTGTTTATTTTTTAGAGAGAGCAAGAGTGTGAGCAAATGGAGGGAGGGGTAGAGGGAGAGAGAATCGTGAAGCAGACTCCCTGCAGAGCCCCGATGCAATGCAGGGCTTTATCCCAGGACCCTAAGATGATGACCTGAGCCAAAATCAAGAATTGGCAGCTTAACTGACTGAGCCACCCAGGTGCCCCTAATAATACCTCTTTTAGTAAACAGAAAATTGTATCTATTGTTTGCCATACATTCTTGTATTTCTGTGTAATTATTGTCATCCAGTGTAGTCAACCTATCATATTATCACTCTTAACAAGAGTAACCATCTTCTTTTTATTTTTAAAGCCAGTCTTCTAATAATTCTGTAGTTCTAAATTAAGTCCATAGTAACCTGAGAGAGAAAACAACAGGCACTTAAAAAAATGCACAAGGATTTATGGCATTTTAAAAACTTTTATAAGATTATATGGGGATGGGGTGCATGAATGGCTCAGTTGGTTAAGCGTCCAACTCTTGATTTTGGCTCAGGTCATGATCTCAGGATCATGAGATTAAGCCCAAAGATTGAGCCCTACATTGGGCTTTGTACTGAGCATGGAGCCTGCTTAAGATTCTCTCTCTGCTTCTGATCTTCCCCCCAGCTTGTGCACACATATATACTTACATACATAAAAATAATCTTTATATAATTATATAAATTTTTAAAAAATTTTCCTAAATTTAAGTACAGTTGATGCACAAGGCTACATTAGTTTCAGGAAAGTAACCATCTTTTTTTGGTCTTCTGATGTTTTTCAGAAGACCAAAAAAAAAAAATCAATAATGGCTTAGCTATTTTTTTCTCCATAAGTGTGCATTTTATATCACAATTTTAAGGTAGTAAAAATAAGCACAGAGACATATGTAATATAACCCAGAGACATTTGTGTATTTTGTTAATCTATTGCCATTCTAAGAAATAAGAATAAAAGATTATGTTTAGTAGCCAACTTTTTAAATCTAATTTTTACTTAGATATTGCCCAGGCATCAAAAGATTAGTTAACAATTTGTCTAAATTCTTAAAATTAGTTAAGGATCTGGAATTTACAATTTTAGCTAACACATTAACTCCTTATTATTTGTAGTATTATAAAAATTTCATAAAATTTAACCTTTGAAAAGATACCGGTTATTGTCATTTCATTTAGGATATATATATACATATATATATATGTATATATATATTTTAAAGATTTTATTTATTCATGAGAGACAGAGAGAGAGAGAGAGAGAGAGAGAGAGAGACACAGGCAGAGGGAGAAGCAGGCTCCACGCAGGGAGCCTGACGCAGGACTCGATCCTGGGTCGCCAGGATCGCACCCTGGGCCGAAGACGGCGCTAAACTGCTAAGCCACCAGGGCTTCCAGGTAATATATATTTTATTTAAATGTATATATTCATATTTTTATATATTTACATATATGTATACAACTATATATGTAATTTTAGTCATGCTATAAAAATAATGATAATTTATTTAACTTATAAAACCAACATAAGAAATTTAAGAAGTTTAAATCATAAAAAATTTAACCATCTTCCTGTACAAAATATTGTGTTGACATTATTATTGTTTTAAGATTTTATTTATTTATTCATGAGAGACACAGAAAGAGAGAGAGGCAAAGACATAGGCAGAGGGAGAAGCAGGCTCCATCCAGGGAGCCCGATGTGGGACTCGATCCCAGGTCTCCAGGATCACACCCCAGGCTGACGGCGGCACTAAACAGCTAAGCCACCGGGGCTGCCCTGACATTATTTTTATACAGTAATTAAATGTAAAAACTCTGAATTATATCGAAAGCTCTTATTTTGAAACTAACTAAAGCTTTGTCATTTTATATTGTAACTATGTAACAAGGGCTATTCAGTAAATATGCTTTTCAGGGTTCACAAAATAAGCACCAAGAATTTGACAACTTTTTTCTTTTAGATGTTTTACTTTATCTGGACTAGCTATTTCTAGAATGAGCACGTTATAACTAAATGTTTCTGTTTGTTTATTTGTTTGATCCATCAGTTAATCTTTACATTTTCCAAGAGAGAGAAAAACAGAACAAAATGTTAAGGAGCCAGCTTCAGACAAATATGAAGGTGCTACTGTAAAATATAAGCCAACTTATATTTTCTATGCAAAGAGGGAGGAGAGAATTTGATACAGAAATACCCATTTTAACATGTACACACACAAAAGAAGTTTATTATAGTTAATTTAAGGATAACTTGGGCCCTTGACAGTTGTATTTAGGCATACAGTTGAAAAGCCAGCCTTGGGCACCTGGATGGCTCAATGGTTGAGCGTCTGCCTTTGGTTCAAGTCATGCTCCGGGGGTCCTGAGATCCAGTCCCACATCAGGCTCTGCACAGTGAGTCTCCTTCTCCCTCTGCTTGTGTGTCTCCCTCTCTCTGTGTGTGTCTCTCATGAATAAATAAATAAAATATTTTTTAAAAAGTCAGACTTTATTAATAATCTTCCAAGTATGGATATGAAGGAGGGTGGTGTTTCGTACCTTAAATAAAATATTCTTTTTTTTTTTTTTTGGTACACAAACAAGACAATTTCCTCATCAGGTTTTCTTCCTTTTCTTTTTTTTCCAAAGCACCTCCTAAATGAACAATCTTGTTCTTGTCAAAAGTAGCTAAAGTGACTAGTATAATTCCAAATTTTTCTGGTACAGTTAGAGAGAGAAGCATACGAGTTTATTGTTATAGTGTGAAAACATTAAAGAAGCAGTGTTTTGGCACGGAAGTGGCAATTTTCAATTGAGAAGACCCTGTGAGAACTGCAGTGTTCCCTTCTAAAGATGGTACTTGTGCAACCTCATATCTCTGGAAGTTGGCCAAAGGCTAACTGTCACTAAACACAGGTTCAACAAACCTTCTGCTTCCAAGCAGATGAAATTAAACAAAGCAGGGGCACAAAGACAAGACTAAGAAAGAAGTCTTCATATATAATCTTAAAAACGGAGACTCATGGCAAAATTGGTTTAAGGACCTGAACTTCTCTGCCCTTGAGACTGGCTCAAGAATAGACAGATCTTTGCCTGTCCTTTTCTATAGATTTGTCCCCTAATAGACAACTAGACAAACAGACCACAGGAGAAAATGTTAGAAGACTAGCAAACAGTTTCACTAAGGAGCAACACCAATCTGTCAGATAACAGAAGGATTCCAGGAGACTTAATTCCTAAGGAAAAAAACAAAATGAAACAAAAAGAAAAGAAACCCCAATGTGAAGGACTTCAACAGAATTCAATTAAGCATAAGCTTACCTACCCGCTCCAGGCATGAGAGCTTTAATCAGTAGGAGATATAGGAGATTTGGGATGTCCAAACTAGAGAGGCAAGAGTGCCAGTCTGTGGCAGTGAAAGCCTCAGCTGAATCTTGGTGGAAATTTGACTTCCATCGTGACCTTCAAACAGAGACTACCAGGAGCACAGTATAGGAAGAGGCAGTCCACTATGGGTCCTGAGCACCCCTGGGTGTTTCTCCTAAGTATGGCAGACTATAAGGTTTATCTGTCCATCGCTTGATCCTGAACAGTTGCAGCAGAAAGTCATGCAGGCGACTAAATGTGTCAAGGTAACTGCAACATGACTACTGCTCACGTTGCAGTAGGTGAGGGGAGCCAGTTTAATTGCATCATGCTATAATGTTTGCTGCTTGCTCACAGAGTGCCGGACCTTGGCCGTGGGTTCTTCTCCTGTAAAGCCACCCACGGAAGATGCGTGCTGGTGTCATTGGCCCTCCACATCTCCATTTGGGAACTGAGGCTCAGGAAACCAGTGCAAATATGCTGATATTCTGGCTACTGCTTTCAGTAATAGAGCCCTTCATCTCTGATCCATACATTTCATGAATAATGTTGTCATTATCCGTGAAACTGTTACAAATTAACTCATCAGTTTGCAAGTACAATAAAATATGACTCTTCTGGGTGCCTGGGTGTCTCAGTCGGTTAAGCACCTGCCTTCAGCTCAGGTCATATTCTCAGAGTGGGGATCGAGCAGGGAGTCTGCTTGCCCCTCTCCCTCTGCCTGCTGCTTCCCCTGCTTGTTCTCTCTGTCAAATAAATAAAATCTTTATTTTATTGTTTTTAATAAAATCTTTAAAAAAAGTGTATGACCCTTCACAGTTCTTGACTAGGACTGGGCAAATTTTTCTGTAAAGGACTGAATAGTAAATATCTTAGGGTTTATGGTCCACATATGGTCTCTGTCACATATTCTTCTTCATTTGTTTGTTTGTTTTGAAACAACCCTTTAATTTGCAAAAAACATTCTTACTGTCATAGGAAAGCAGGTGATAGATGGGATTTGACTGACTCTGGGTTTGCTGTCCATTGTTCTTGACATATTTATTAGTCAAAGTTGGACATCTTGACTGTTTGCTATAAGAAAGATCCTACATTATTTTTATCTGTGCAGTTTCTCTGTAACGGGGTGTTAAATAGGACTTATTTTAGGATTTGGAGTTCGTGTTAGGTAATTTGGGGGAGCATTTAAGGATGTGGAGCTTTGCCCTGTATTGGAGCCTATCAAGAAGCAAAGATAATTTTATGATTGGGTATCCTAATTTTCTCTAGAATAGAGATGGACAAACTTTTTCTGTAAATGGCCAGATGGAAAATATTTTAGGCTTTGCAGTCTACATATGGTCTCTCTCACATATTCTTCTTTGTTTTCCTTTAAAAAAAAAAAAAACCTTTTAACAATGTTAAAACCATTCTTAGTATAAGTATGTAAAAGAACAGCCAAGGCCCAGATTTTACTGCAGGTCTGTAGTTTGCCTTATCTTGAAGGTGGGAAGAAGGAAGTGAAGTTAAAGCTGTAACTGCAAAAGAGCAGCAGTCACTTATAGTGATCATATGGTGTATGTGTTC